GGGACAAGGCAGGAAACTTGGTAAAAAACAAGAAGCACGTCCATGTTTGGAGGGGAAAAAAAGCAGATCCATGACAAAAATCCCCTGTGCAAGTGCAATCATTCCCCCTCTTTTCCCACCAGTTTTTCCTGAAAAAGCAGAGATAACAGCGCAGCAGAAAAAGCTGCACCTCGCTGAGATAAGGAGCAGCACCACGAGGGTGGTGACAGCTGATAAGGAAGGCTCTGTCAGCGTCCCAGATGGAAAGATCCCCTCCAATCCCTGACTCCTCGTCTCCCGGGGCATTTTGCAGTGCCTGTCACTGCCAGGCAGCTGAGAGCTCGTTATGGCTCCCAGGATTTATCCCTGCTGTTCCTGGAAGCAGCACAGGGGACAGGAGAGACACGGCCATCCATTAGGGTGAAGAATTCCAGGGGCAGCGCCATCAATCCAAAGCCTGGCTGCACCTCTGGGTCACTTTTGAGTAACAACGAGGTCCTACCAAGAATTTCTCTGTCCCCCACACCATTCATGGCCCCAGCTCCCCCAAATTTAGACCCTCTAATTAGGAGGATTCTCCACTCTCTAATTAGAGGGAGAAAAAGCCCCAAATCTTTGCTCAAAGATGAAAAATTCCAGGGACAATGCCATCAATCCAAAGCCTGGCTGCACCTCTGGGGCACATTTGAGTAACAATGAGATCCCACCACGAATTTCTCTGTCCTCACCCCATTTACGGCTCCAGATCCCCCTAATTTGGACCCTCTAATTTCTTTAATTAGGAGGATTCTCCACTCTATAATTAGGGGGAGAAAAAAGCCCAGACCTTTGCACAGGAGGGTTTTTGGCAGGGTTTCCCCTTTCCAGCCCAGCTATTTGTTGTCACAACCTCACAGGTATTTAATTATCCCTGAGCTGTCTGTTCCACTGGCAAATGTAGCTGGAATTAGCAACAGGCTGAAAAAATAAATCTCTGTTTTTGGGGAAGGGTGACACAGCAGGCACTGGCAGCCTGGGCACGTGGGATTTGTCTCCATGAGCAATCCACCTCAAAAGGATGGAGGAGAAAATAAAAATTGGAATTTTTTTTCCCCCCCCAAACATTTTGGGAGACCCTAGAGCAGGGAATGGTGAGTCTGGATGAGCAAGGTTAGACACAGAGAATCGTGGAATTGTTCAGGTTGGAAAATCCTCTGAGATCATTGAGTCCAACTGTTCCATGGCCACCACTGCCCCAAGCGCCACATCCAGAGGGATTTTAAATCCCGACAGGGATGGGAACGCCACCCCTGACCTGGAAAGGAGAATTCATTTCCAAGCAGGAATTCTCCC